CCCCTCCCCTCCCCCACCCAGCCCTCCCCTCCCACCCAGCCCTTCCCTCCCCCAGCCCCCTCCCCACCCAGCCCTTCCCTCCCACCCAGCCCTTCCACCCCCCCAGCCCCTCCCCACCCTCCCACCTCTCCAGCCAGCCCCCCATCCCATTTTTGGATGCACGACGGACGGACACAATAATCCCCTGTGGGCTGGTGTAACCAGGAGTTATTACCAGTAAGACGTCCAAACTAATTGCCTCTTAACGATCCCGGGAACGGGAACAGGAGCGGGTGACGAAGCCCCTTTTGCCGTAGCAGCGCCAACGATTGGGAACAACCTCGTTTTCTCCCTTCCCATCTCCAGGATAAACACTGAACACCGGTTCCGATCCGGAGGCACGCAAACGACAGGGCCCGCCGCCAGCCAAGCGGGGGAAGGAATGCGCGCGTGTGTGAATCATCACCGCTCGTGACGTAACGCACCGCCGGAGGAGGAACCCCACGCACCCCGACCCCGGCCAGCGATGATAAGCCTGCCGCTAGCGCCCCCCTCTACACCCCCACTCCACCGCAACGCCGCCAGCCCGCCAGCCCTGACGGCACCGCTTCACGCAATACGTCCCCCGTCTCGATTTAAAGCTTTCGTGACTGCAGGGATTCATCTTCTTGGTTCTTTCGGTAAAGTCGCGTAGAAGGGAAGTATAAATAATAAAAATAAAACATGATAAAATAATTCTCACGACGTTTCGGCCGCAACGCAAGCAGCCGTCCTCAGGCGAAGAAGGACGGCTGCTTGCGTTGTGGCCGAAACGTCGTGAGAATTATTTTATTGTGTTTTATTTTTTATTGTATTACTTCCCTTCTACGTGCATCACCGAAAGAACCGAGAAGACGTCCCCCGTCGTTGCTCCGTCGGCACGGCGCGTGCCATGGGTTCTCTTCTGCGGCGGGCCGGTCTTGTGAACGGTGCGGAGCGGCGGCCGAGGTGGTCGAAGAGTCCAGATGATTGTGTCAGGAGGAGGGGCGTGGTAATCGCCGCTGTGATGATGTCTTCTCCTTCGTGTATATCTCTTTCATTCTCTGTATTAGTCTACGAGTATCTGTGTGAATATGTAGAATCTTCGTGGGTCTAAACGTCTCCGTTTGAGTCTATGGGTGTCCGTGTGAGTCTATAGATCTTTGTGGAAGCCTATGGGTCTCTGTGTGAGTCTATGGGTCTCTGTGTGAGTCTATGGGTCGCTGTGTGAGTCTATGGGTCTCTGTGTGAGGCTATGGGTCGCTGTGTGAGTCTATGGGTCTCTGTGTGAGGCTATGGGTCTCTGTGTGAGTCTATGGGTCTCTGTGTGAGGCTATGGTTCTCTGTGTGAGTCTATGGTTCTCTGTGTGAGTCTATGGGTCTCTGTGTGAGTCTATGGGTCTCTGTGTAAGTCTATGGGTCTCTGTGTGAGTCTATGGTTCTCTCTGTGAGTCTATGGGTCTCTGTGTGAGTCTATGGGTCTCTGTGTGAGTCTATGGTTTCTCCTGTGAGACTATGGTTCTCTGTGAGTCTATAGATCTCTGTGTGAGTCTATGGGTCTCTGTGTGAGTCTATGGGCCTCTGTGAGTCTGTAGATCTCTGTGTGAGTCTGTGGGTCTTGGCGTAGCGCAACAGCTGTGAATAATTTACACCGAGACGTTTGAGCCTGCCGCCTGCGTCGCGAGTAGCAGGATAGTGAATCGCCGTGCCAATGCCTCAGTGCGGTTGTCTACGTGCGGCGCGACGGAAGTGAAACGTACGTATGTGCGTGCACTCTCCGTCTCTCCCCTCGCCCCTCCACTTCCTCCCCGTCCCCCCTAACCTCTGGTGACCCCTACGCACCCTCCGACGGGGCCAACCACTCCCCCCAGGCCTTGCCCTGCACAGCCGCCGCCACCACCGAAACCATTGGTTCATCGCGCCGCCCGCGGAGCTGCGTTACGCCTTGAGCGAGGGCGCAACACGAATGGTCAAGCGACGATATCCGCCGCTTCACGGCCACGCTCCTTAAGATCGCCCACCCCCCCCCCCCCCCCCCCCCCCCGGTGCTCCGAGTCACCGCGGCGGGCTCTGCGAATACACGGCGGCCTGACGCTCGCGGTGATCTTAGTGGGGGGCGGGGGTGTAAGGAGAGGGGGGGATGGGGAGAGGGGGGCAACCTTTAAAAAGGTCTAACACAGTTGCCGGGCGACGGGCCGTATCCTAGCGAGGTAAAGAACGCCACCGTCCCCTTTATAAGATTCGACGGCCCCCGTAACAGAGCTGGAGACGGGGGGGGGGGGGGGGGGCGGGGGGGCAGAGGTCGCGTGTAATCTGCCCAATAAAAGACTTCCCGGACACTGGACAGAAACGGGCCCCCCCCCACCACCCCTCCCTCCCGTGGGGGGCGCCTCTCGCTCGGTACCCCAAGGGACCAGAATGCCCGAGCGGGGGACGCAACAAATAAATAAATAAAGTCCGCCTCCGGGCCCCCCGCACCCCCCGCCCCCCCCGGCGCCCCCTAAGATGCCATATTTGCCTCTCCCAATCCGGCAGTAGAGCGCGAGCGGCAATCGGAACTTCCCAATGTAGCAGCAGCGCAGCAGCATATATCCCTCCTGAACACTACCGGACTTCATAGCTCACCGGAATATTCTGAACCGGATTCTGAAGACCTGAGACTCGGCGGGGCTTTGGTGGGTAAATAATAAAGCCGGGCAGTGGCAGTGGGGGCCGCGATTGCAAGATGTTAACTACCTCGCCTGGTATGCAGGCGATCGTGGGTTCGATCTCGACCCTGACGCCTGCTGCTGCTGTATATTTGGAGTTTGCGGTGTCTCTCTCTCTCATCATCATTACGGTGGCTAGGAAATGTTAACTACCTCGCCTGGTATGCAGGCGATCATGGGTTCGATCTCGACCCTGACGCCTGCTGCTGCTGTATATTTGGAGTTTGCGTGTCTCTCTTTCTCTCATCATCACGGTGGCTAGGAAATGTTAACTACCTTGCCTGTATGCAGGCGATCGTGGTTCGATCTCGACCCTGACGCCTGCTGCTGCTGTATATTTGGAGTTTGCGTGTCTCTCTTTCTCTCATCATCACGGTGGCTAGGAAATGTTAACTACCTTGCCTGGTATGCAGGCGATCGTGGGTTCGATCTCGACCCTGACGCCTGCTGCTGCTGTATATTTGGAGTTTGGCGTGTCTCCTCTCCCCGTTTAGAGTATTTGGCTGCTATAAATGTTCACACGATGATGAGCACTTCGTTGAGGTCTCATTTGTGGCCAGGTCGCTTCTGACAAAAGAGCCGTATGGCCCAGTGGGGCCTTACCTGCTAAAATAATGATGGTTTAATTTAGTTAGTTTAAATTTTGATTTAAAGCTTTCGTGACTGCAGGGATTCATATTCCTTGTTCTTTCGGTAAAGTCACGTAGAAGGGAAATAATACAATTATATAAGTATAAAACAATACAAATTCTCACGACGTTTCGACTGCAACACAAGCAATCATCATCAGGTGTGAAATCCACAGCAAGAAACTTTTCAAATTTTCAAATGTTCTTGCTGTGGATTCCACACCTGATGATGATTGCTTGTGTTGCAGTCGAAACGTCGTGAGAATTCTAATTGTTTTATATTATATTATTTCATTATTTATTTAGTTTAGTTGAACAGTTTTAATTTACAGATTCGTCGAGTTTCTTTTGCGGTGACGTAAAAAAAAAACCCCACACCTTGGCAGAACACCGGGACGTGCGCGTGGCTCACAGCGTCATCGCCGATGCCGCACGGCGACAGACACGAGCACGTGGCAACGGCCGAGTTGCGAGCGGTGGTGAGTGTGGAACAGTCGGACTGATCAATGAGGACGTTCTCCAAAGGCGTGGGTGCTGCACAGGCGAAGGCCCCTGGGACAGAGAAGCGGCGCCACCGACAATCACCCAAACTATTATTTGGTTCTTTCGGTAAAGTCACGTGTAAAGATAAAATAATAAATTAAATTAAATAATAGCATACGACGTTTCGATTGCAACACAAGCAATCATCATCAGGTATAATGACATAGCGACATAAAATCTAACCAGAAAACTACAGACAGACATATTAGCAGACAGATATCACCAACATACATAGAGAGAGCAGGTAACAGAGAGGGGTGATCGTCTCTTATTTTATCTTTAGACGTGACTTAACCGAAAGAACCAAATAATAATTCCTGCAGTCACGAAAGTTCTAAAATTAAGATTAATCACCCAAACTCTGTGGTCCTATATGGGGACGCTTGGCCATCAACGCGACGCACGTTGCGCCGTGCCGCGCGATGAACGACGCGCGACACAGGCAACAGGCCGTTGGGGCAAGCGCTGTTCGCGAGCAGCAGCACCTGTGAAGGCCGGCACGGCACGCGAGAGGGTAGGTGGCCAGCATTCGTCTCCCCAGTGGGAGGCAACGTTTACTACACACCGCGCACCAGGTACTCAATTGAGACCGAGTCTACATAGGGGAGGGTCCAGGGTCGGGTTCAGATATTCGCCACTATAATTGGCCGTGAGCTCGGGGTCGCCACGTCCGCGGCGCGGCGCGCGCTAACCGCTGCGCCGCCGCTCCCCACGTTGCACGTGCGCCGTAGCCGCTTGTTTTCCACTCTGCCACTCTGCCATGCACGGCGCTGAACTGCTGAACTCGGAAACCTTCGGATGTAAAGAAAAAAGGAGAGAGAGAGTGAGTGGAGGGGAGAAAAGAAAGGCAGCAGCAACAAAAAAAACCCAGAGTCAACGGGGAAGAGCGAGCGAGCGAGCGTCTCCGTCGCTCCGTAGCCGTGGCGACGCAAGCTCTTCGCACAACAACACGAGCACACACACACGCACATCCCCCACCCGCGCTGCGTGGACAGAGGGGAGAGATGCGCGGGGGGGGGGCAGCATTTGTCGGCGCTAACTCGGGTTGCCGCGTGATGGTGTGACTACGACGCAGCATCCGATACACGCTTGGTGCATGCTGCGTGTTTATGCATTATGGATAGGCACCGTGCATCTGTGTTCAACGCAGATCCTGAGCACAGGCCCAGGTGGGAACAAAATGTCAAGCCGCACGCAGCGAACGGAGTTGAAATGGCTTCAGGGTTTTTTAACGAGGCTCTTAGAAGTTTTGAAAAGGAGAGGATTCCGTGAGTGGAGCAGCGTGAGGGAAGAGGCAGATAGAGAGGCGAGGTGACCTGCAGTGTGGTGGGTGGGTGAGTGGGTGGGTGGTTGGGTGGGTGGCTAAGTGGGTGAGTGAGTGGGTGGGTGGTTGGTTGGGTGGATGGCTGGGTGGGTGAGTGAGTGGGTGGGTGGGTGGGTGAGTGAGTGGGTGGTTGGTTGGGTGGATGGGTGGGTGGGTGAGTGGGGTGGGTGAGTGAGTGGGTGGTTGGGTGGGTGGCTGGTTGGGTGAGTGAGTGAGTGGGTGGCTGGTTGGGTGGATGGCTGGGTGAGTGGGTGGGTGGGTGGTTGGGTGAGTGGGTGGTTGGGTGGGTGGGTGGCTGGGTGGGTGAGTGGGTGAGTGAGTGGGTGGTTGGGTGGTGGGTGGCTGAGTGGGTGGGTGAGTGAGTGGGTGGTTGGGTGGCTGGCTGGGTGGGTGAGTGAGTGAGTGGGTGGTTGGGTGGCTGGCTGTGTGGGTGAGTGACTGCCTGAGTGGGTGAGTGTGAATGAGTGAGTGGGAGAATGTGCGTGTACGTGAGTGACGCTCACAACAATGAGCAGAGCGCCGGGCGGATAAAACGCGGCAAGGTGGCACAGTAGGAAGCAGAGGTGGTGCATCTGCCAGTCATCTCAGTTAGTCAACCCGAGGCACCTGGGTCTGTCCCATGACCTCCTGCACCTAGCCTGGCACAGCAGTCAACCCCATGGCACCTGGGTTTGTTCCATGACCTCCTGCACCTAGCCTGGCACAGCAGTCAGCCCCATGGCACCTGGGCCTGTCCCATGACCTCCTGCACCAAGCCTGGCACAGCAGTCAACCCCATGGCACCTGGGTCTGTCCCATGACCTCCTGCCTGCAGAGGGCCTCAAGGTGCACCTAGGCTGGCACAAGCGGTGTGGTGATGTCGCCGCCACTTAGTAGTGAAGGTCGGTTGTCGTCGTCGTTGTGGTATGTGTGTTGCGTGTGTGTGTGTTGTGCGTGTGTTGTGTGTGTGTTGCGCGTGTGTGTTGCGCGTGTGTGTGTTGTACGTGTGTGTTGTGTGTGTGTGTTGCGTGTGTGTGTATTGCGTGTGTGTGTCTTGTCGTGTGTCTTGTCGTGTGTGTTGCGCGTGTGTGTGTTGAGTGTGTGTTGTGTGTGTGTGTGTTGTGCGTGTGTGTGTGTTGTCTGTGTGTGTTGTGCGTGTGTGTTGTCTGAGTGTGTTGTGCGTGTGTGTTGTGCGTGTGTGTTGTGCGTGTGTGTTGAGTGTGTGTTGAGTGTGTGTTGTGTGAGTGCGCGTGTATGTGTGTTGTGTGTGTGTCTTGTGCGTGTGTTGAGTGTGTGTGTTGTGCGTGTGTGTGTTGTGTGTGTGTGTTGAGTGTGTGTTGAGTGTGTGTTGTGTGTGTGTTGTGTGTGTGTTGTGTGTGTTGTGTGTGTGTGTGTTGTGTGTGTGTGTTGTGTGTGTGGTTGAGTGCGCGTGTGGTGTGCGTGTGTGTGTTGTGTGCGTGTGTTGAGTGTGTGTTGTGTGTGTGTGTTGTGTGTGTGTTGTGTGTGTTGTGTGTGTGTGTTGTGTGTGTGTTGTGCGTGTGTTGTTGAGTGCGCTTTGCTAGGGAAGTGCCCTGTCACCTCGCCTGCCCATTGGTCACTGCCGTAAAACGTGACACGGGAGCTCAACGAGGGCAGCCGGGGAGGCGTGCGGGTGGCAGGGGCAGCAGCTGCGTTAACGACGGTCGGCGGACACGCCGACACACGAAACAAAGACAAAGATCCCCGTGTAGTCTCTAATGGAATGTCGAGGCAGGCGCCGTCAGGAAGCGGCGCCCACGAATGCCGTGCCCGTGACCGTGAACGAACGCCGTGACCTGTGGCGCCGGCAGAACGGGAACCCGGTGACTCACCGCGCCGGACGGTGCCGTCCCGCCTCCCTCACGGACCAACGGGCCCTCGCGCCGGTGCCGCTCCGGCTGACGGCGGCCACGCCGCCTCCGCCCCCGGTCAGCGCCGCCTCGGGGCACCGCAGCTCCGGCGGCAGCAGCACCGGCATCGCCACCGTCACGTTGGTCGCCGCGGCGACGGTCGACCCGCCGCCTCCTCCGCCGCTCACGCTCACCGTCACGGCGTAGGTGCCGGGCAGCGCGAACTTGTGCCGCGCGGCGGCGCCGCCGGCCACGTCCAGCGGCGCCGCCCCGTCGCCGAAGTCCCAGCGGGCGCGCCAGCCGGCGCCGGGGTCGTGCCAGGGCGCGGCGCGAAACTCGGCCGTCTCGAAGACGCTGACGGGCGCAGGCCGCGGAAGGAGGCTCCCGAGCGGACGGGCGCCGGCGGCGCCACCACGACGCGACCGCACACGGCGCGGCTCGCCGGGTAGCCCGTCGAGCAGACGGCGGCGCAGTCGGGCGCCGCCGGCGGGGAGCCGCCCGCGTCGCCGCACAGGCACAGGAAGTTGAGCGCCGGGTCCGAGGAGAAGTAGGCGAGGCGGCGGCGGGCGCACGCGGCGTTGCAGCCGAGCTCGTCGTGCGCGTCCTCGTCCACGGCCGAGAAGATGAGCGTCGAGGCCGGGCGCAAGCAGGCAACGTAGTCGGCAGCTGGGCGTCAAGCGGGGGGGTCAGGGGGACACGGCGCAGGTGAGACCACCACGACCACCATCGTCATCGTCGTCGTCGTCGTCGCTATCGACGTGATCGTCGTCGGCGTCGTCGTCATCACGGTTGTGACGACGTCGTGGTCCGGCGGTTGGTGGCATCATCATCATCATCACCAGGCAGCATCGTCATGGACAGCATCGTTACACACAGCATTGCTAGATGCATCATGGTCACACACAGAATCACCACACACAACATCGCTACACACAGAATCACTACACATAGCATCGTTACACACACATCACTACACGCAGCATCGTTACACACAGCATTGCTAGATTCACCATCGTCACGCACAGAATCACCACACACAACATCGCTACACACAGAATCACTACACATAGCATCGTTACACACAACATCACTACACGCAGCATCGTTACACACAGCATTGCTAGATGCACCATCGTCACGCACAGCATCACGAGATGCAGCAGCATCGTCACGAGCAGCATCACTGCCATTTGTTGCCGTGCGTGATTCTCTGCGGCGAGCGTGACGTGTCTGTGTGGTGAGCGTGACGTGTCTGTGCGGTGACTGCACGGCGAGCGTTGCGTCCCCCCGGGGCGCCACCTACCGCAGACGGCGCTGGAGAAGTTGGCGGCGGTGACGGGCGTGTGGGCCAGGCGGTCCGGCAGGGCGCACAGCGAGCGCAACGGCCGCGCCAGTACCACTCTGCCAGCGCGCGCCGGCGCCACCAGCCACCAGGGCAGCCACGCCAGCTCACAGCCGCAGTCCAGCGGGTTCCCGCTCACGTCCCTGTGAGGGCGGGACAAAGGCGAAGATCCCCCACCCCCCCCCGTAGCCTTCACAAAGTGTCGGGGCAAGTGCTGTTCGCGTGAGCGTCCACAAAGGCCGACAGAGCGCACGAAGAGGCCAGCACCGGCGCTGATGTTTACACGCCGTGGCAGGTACTCATTTAAGGCTGAGTCCGCCTAGGTGTGGCCCAGTGCCGCTTCAAATATTCGCCACGGTTATACTGGTAGGAACCTCCTGGTTACACCAGCCCACAGGGGATTATTGTGTCCGTCCGTCTGTCATGCAGGGAGGGGCTGGGTGGAGAGGGTGGGGAGGGGCTGGATGGGGAAGGTGGAGGGAGCAGGTAGGAACGTCGGGTTGCTCGGTCAATGGCCAGGGTCAATGGCGGCGTGGTGTATTCCGCAAATATGTCCGACTGTGAGGGCGGGCACAAGCCGGCGTGAGTAGGTCAAATGTTGAGTTTTATAAGGGCACCACGGGGTGACCAGCTCCTCCCCACCCAGCCCCACCCCACCCTCCCCTCCCCACCCAGCCCCTCCCCACCCCTCCCCACCCAGCCCCTCCCCACCCTCCCCTCTCCACCCAGCCCCACCCCTCACATTTTTGGATGCACGACGGACGGACGGACACAATAATCCCTTGTGGGCTGGTGGAACCAGGAGGTTCCTACCAGTATTATCCCCAAGTCCTTGCAACAACAACCTTGTTCCATTCGAAAAACGTGTGGCACTCCTACCGGCTACATCTCTGAGCAGTGCTGCTTGTTGCTGGGCGTTTGACGTTTCGGGCCTGTGCTCAGCAACTGAGTCCACAGATATACAATGCGCGCGCTGCGTGTTGATCTAAGGAAATGCGCTGGCAATCAAATCACTCGGCAGGGGATTGGCGGAGTCGCACAGAGGCCAGAGTCCGCGACGCGACTTACAGCACGGCGAGGCTCGTGAGGTTGTCGAAGACGCCGTTGGGCAGCGTGCCGATCTGATTGTCGCTCAGATCCCTGCGGGAGGAGGAGGAGACACGACGTCCGCTAAAGCGACGACATAGAAGGGGGCCTGGCTGGCCGCGCTCGCTCGCTCACGCCACGCGGAACCGGCGGCGGAGGGGGGAGAACGTACAAACTCCACGCGCCGAGGCGCCAACCCAACGTGGGGATCGAACCCAGGCTGTCGCTGCTCCGGGGGCGGCGCGAGCGTTGCCGCCCCGCCAGAGGTCGCAACCGGGTACCCGATACCCGTACCCTACTCGATACCCGGCTACCCGTACCCGGCCGGGTACGGGTACGGGTAGCCATTTGCGACCCTGGTGCGGCCGGGTACGGGTAGGCCGTGAGTCACCGGTGAGTAACCGTTTGTCACTCATTTCGGGAAGGGTACGGGTCAGGGTAGAGAACGGGTACCCGTACCCGGCCGGGTACGGGTACCCGTTTGCGACCCTGGTGCGGCCGGGTACGGGTACGGATAAGGAATCAAAAACCCGTTTGCAACCTCTGTGCCCCGCCGCCCTACCACCACGCACGCCGCGCGTAACGGCCCCCGCCACCCCCCCGCACCACCGCCGCCGTCGCAACGGTGGCAGCGAGGCTCCTCCCGGCGGCGCGTGCGTGTCCCGACAGGCCCGGCCCAGGACACGCGCCACCCTGGCACCGCACCGCCGCGCTAACCGTCGCTCGTCCCGCGGGGCCGTGACACGGGGAGTGCCGTCCCGGCGACGGGGCGCCACTCACGCGCCTAATCACCCGTCGGGGCTCTCCCGCAAAGACAAAACAAATATCCCCTCCCCGTGTAGCCTTAACAGACTGTTGGGGCAAGTGCGTGTCAGTGCGCGCCTGTGACGCCAGCGCGGCGCACGAGGGGGTGGGTGGCCAGCACCACGCCGGCCGCTTTTGTCTCTCTCTGGTGGCGATGTTTACACAGCGCACCGGGTACTCATTTATGGCTGAATAGACCTCGGGGAGGGCCGTTTCGGATAATCGTCACTGGTGTCGGCCGTGAGCGGGAATCCAACTCGGGACGCCGGGTTCGTAACGCGGCGCGCTAACCGCTCCACCGCCGCTCTACACACTCATGCACGCACGCACACACACGCACGCACACACGCACACACGCACGCACAACACTCCTCACACTCTGCAGAACACGGGGGGGGGGGGCGGAAGAAACAAACTCGACGAAGAAAGTGGCATCAGTCGGGAACGGAAGCCAGGGCCCCCCTTCTCGCTGCGAGGCACGAGCGTTGCCACTGAACCACCACCCCCTGCCGCCCTCAGCACGTCTTTGTTGAGTTCATCTGACTCGTACTCTTTGGTTCTGTCGGTAAAGTCACGTAGGTGTAAGATAAAATTAAAATTAAATCACAAAGTTTCGATTGCAACACAAGCTCTGGTTTTCCCACCTGATGACGATTGCTTGTGTTGCAATCGAAACGTCGTGATTGAATTTTTATTTTATTTTCTACCCACGTGACTTTACCGAAAGAACCAAAGAGTATGGATATCCCTGTAGTCACGAAAACTTTCAAATCTCTGATTAATCTGACTCCTTGCAACGGCCGATGGTTTACCAGCTATTTTACGCGGGAGAAAAACGCGCAAAGACAAAACGATTTTCCCATAAATAGCGTCGCGACAGAGTGTGGCGAGAGACAATTTCCCCGCCGCGTTACCGTATCACTCCGCGTACCGTATCGCTGTACCGCTCAGCTCAAGAAAGTAGTTCGTCGTCTTCCGCTGAGAAGCCGCGTTGTAACGGCGCTCGCGCTCTGCCTTGTAACGTAAGTGACGCGCCGCGTGCGAACACGCGTCGAGCGACGATTTAGGAAGATTGCACAACTGACGAAACGCGGAACTTAGCGGTCGCAGACGAGACGGGACGCACGCGACCCAGGCGGCGCACGGACACGCGACTCACAGCACGAGCAGCGAGGTCATGTCGCGGAAGGCGTGCACGCCGAGGCGGAAGATCTTGTTGTCCGTCAGATTCCTGGGGAAACGCACGGGACGCACGGACAGACACGCACCTTTCACCGCAGGTGACGGCCCACGGAGGCTCGCACACACAAAGCGCTCGGCCAGGAAGCGACCACCAATCACCTCGGCGCTGATCTCGTTAAGGAGCATAAGCCGTCGTCACGCGACACTCCGCTCGTCATCGCTGCAGCGGCGGCGGCGGCTTTTGGCTCAGCCGTCGAAGAAAGACGGTGGCCACGGCATCGCGCGGCGCTTTCAAATGCGCCCTTGCGGCCGTCTGGAATGCTCTTCCTTTCGGTATTAGGAAGCCACATTTTGTGTTTAGTTTGTTGAGCTTCCCCACACTTCTAATTAACACGGTTGGCTATGTACAGTGCGAAAGAAGTTCTATATAAATACATCGCTATTCCTCGCTGTGCCGCTCTATCGATGTGGTGATGTCACAAACCTGCGTGTGTTCTCTACTCCACCTGTTCCTCTCTCTCTGTATCTCTCAGTGCAATTCCCAGCGTGCATCTCTCCTCCACGCTCCTGTCACCATCACCATGGTCTATCCACTGCTCGATGAAGATCATTGTGATGACATTGACCTCTGCGTGCGCGTGTCCTCTAAACCACGTGTTCCTCTCTCTCTGCATCTCTCAGTGCAATTCCCAGCGTGCATCTCTTCTCCACGCTCCTGTCACGATCACCATGGTCGATGAAGATCAATGTGATGACATTGACCTCTGTGTGCGCGTGTCCTCTAAACCACGTGTTCCTCTCTCTGCCTCTCAGTGCCGCCCCGAGCACGCGTCTCTCCGTGCTTCTCTCCCGCACCGAGACCCGGCCTCGTTAAAAACCCGAACTGGAACCGGGGCCGCCGTTCGGCGGGTTCGGTGCGCGTGAGCGTGGAGCCAGGGCGGTCCGGCCCGAAGAACTCACAGCACGGAGAGGGAGTGCGCGACACGCGACAGGACGTCCTCCTCCAACTCCTGGATGTTGTTGTGCGACAGGTCCCTGGCAAGACACGACACACACCAAATACAAAGATCGTCGGTCTCACCTTAACAAACGTTTGGGGCAGGTGCTGCTAGGGAGCACCGATAAAACTCAACCAAAACTCTTCTTGGTTCTTTCGGTAAAGTCACGTAGAAGGAAAATAATAAAGTAATAAAAATAAAACAATAAAATATAATGAAAAAATATTTATTATTTCATTATTTTCCTTCTACGTGACTTTACCGAAAGAACCAAGAAGATGAATCCCTGCAGTCACGAATGCTTTAAATCGAAATTTAACCAAAACTATTTGTAGTTGACCAGGTAAGGCCCACTGACCACGGGTAGAGGTATCACTCGCCACTGACGGTACACGGCCGTGATTCGAACTCAGGTCGCCAGGATCGTAGCGTAGCGCATCGACCACCACACCACCAATCCGCACAACGATACACGCAATCATCGTTGCCATTCGCCACTGACGGTAACGCCACCACGATGCTCGTACCAGGCTAGGTGCACTTTGAGGCAATCGTGTGACATGTGGAAGGCTCGCTACTGACAGGAGGTCACGGGACAGACCCAGCAGGTGCCATGGGTTAACTGCCTGAGATGACTGGCAGTTGCTCCCTACTCTAACTTGCTGCGTTTTAGCCACCCGGCGCTCCGCTCATTGTTGTGAGCATCGCTCCTCTGCCCTCCGTTGTTGTTGGAGGGGGCGACTGCCTTCAACAGCTCAGTAGCAGCGTCCTTCACGGGCATCCTCCACGGACGAACACATAGAACCAGACACGCACGAAGCTAAACCGGGCGTGCTTTCTAGACACCGACGCACAACAATAGGGGGATAATCTGCAATCGCAAGCTGTGCCACTCTTCTCCCATTATGGCAAGAATAACTCTTCGCAGGTCTCACCGCCGCGGCCCAAAGCCACGTGGACGTTCTCGTTCCCCAGTAAGGGCTTGGAAATAATCTCCAGCTACACACATTTTCCACAGCCCCGTGTTTTTGAACGCAATTTCGGATCTCGGACTATTTGATAATTGGTTTTTAACCCTATTATCTGGCAACAAAACTGACACCGTTTTTTACGAGGAGTCATGTTTGCATAGACCACTATACCTGCAGTCATAATGCAAACAAAAAACATAACTCTGATAATGTATGCACTGTCCTTGAAGTTGATTGGTCCACACCCGAGACAGCTTTCCTTAAAGCCTAGTCTCACATGGGTTGGACCAGATGAGGTACCAATGGTGTAAATGCTCAGAATACTTGTTTTCCTCCGTGCGTGCGTCTGCGTGCGTGAGCGGTAGCGCAATGGTTTAGCACGCTGCCCTACGGACCCGGCGACCCGAGTTCGATTCCCGCTCACGGCCACCAACACCGGTGACGATCATCTGAATCGGTCCTGGGCCTCCCCGAGGTCGACTCAGCCTCAAATGAGCACCCAGTGCGATGTAAACATCGCCACTGGGGAGACAAAGGCAGCCGGGCGAGGTGCTGGCCACCCACCCCCTCGTGTGCCACAATGCCGCTAACAGCTAACAGCACTTTCCCCAACAGTCTGTCGAGGTTATACAGTTCAAGGGGTCGTTGCCTTTGTGGGGAGTGGTGGCGCCGAGGTTAGCGCACTGCTCTATGCACCCGCGGTGACCCAGGCTCGCTGGATTCCCCCCGCTCACTGCCAACACTCGTGGCGAGTATGTGAACCGGTCCTGGACCCTCTCCTAGGTCGACTCGGCCTCGAATGAGTACCTGGTGCGGTGTGTAAACATCAGCATTGGGAAGACAAAGGCGGCCAGGGCGCGGTGTCGTGCCAGGGCAGCCTTAACAAACCCGACGTCCTGAGTTCAACTCTCCTACTCTTAGTTCTTTCGGTAAAGTCACGTAGGTAAAAAATTGAAATTAAAATCTGGCTGTGACTGTCCCACCTGATGACGGAGACTTGTGTTGCCTCCGAAACGTCGTGATTTTTATCATTTTATTTGTCTTGATTTTAATTTCATTTTTTACCTACGTGACTTTACCGAAAGAACTAAGAGCATGAATCCTTGCAGTCACGAAAGCTTCAAATCTAGAATTCAACTCTCCTGTTGCTCACGGCAAACCACCGTCGCCGATGAAAAGCTGCATGGGGGATATGTGTGCGTGTGTGCATGAGGGCGCGCACGCGTGTGTGTGTGTGTGTGCGAGCCCCCTTTTCACGCCCGGCTTGTCAAAGATTACGGCTGTACAAACAGGCCCAGGCTCCGGGAGGTAAAACCAACAGCTGAGATAGGCACACTCCACACATAACACACACACGTCTGGTCTGTCCGCGTGTGTGTGTGCTGTTACAGAATCATCATCATCATCCTCCTCCCCATCAGTTCCCCGCGTCCTTGACTAGAAAAAATTTACCCGTAAAAACAAAGTTTTTCACTATAAATCCTTTATATGCGTGGCGGCTAGAGTCCTCTCGTCCTCTGGCTTGAGATGGCTGCCACCTATGGGTCAGATGATTGCTTGCCACCATTAAGCAATTGGTAGTTACATATAATTTTTTTTTCCTAAAAAGTGTAAAATTTTGGAAAATTTTTTTCACGAAAATACACGCACAACGAGTCTGTGTGCAAAATGTCAGCTCGAATGGATCACGGGAAGTGGGTTAAAAAACGACCGAAAGATTTACACGGTCGTAAGCAAGCAACCAAGTGAACTTAATATAAAGGATTTAAAAAGCCACTGCGATTTCCCTGCAACTCAAAAGAGCGTTGAGGCATTGGTGTTCACCTCGTGCTTAACAACAACCCTACAGAGCCAGTGGTGGAATGGTCATGGCTCACACGGTGGGGGTGAGATGACTGACTGCGCTCGTTACACACAGAGTGCTCATCACAAATGAACCACAATCCCTTGCTGATATCGTCAAGGAGCGTAAACCATCAGGCAAAGTCCGCTCATCCTCGCAGCGGCTCTCGAACAAAGACGGTGGTCAGATGCGCTTCTGCGGCCGTCTGGAACGCTCTTCCTTCCGATGTTAGGAAGCCACTGGAACTGTACACTTTCAAATCACCTCGATTAAAAACTAGTTTCTTTACAGCTGCGTTTTGTGTTCAGTTTGTTGTCCCACCCCGCACCTCCGATTAGCACGGTTGGCTACGTACGGTGCGAAAGAAGTTCAACGTGCACACGTAACGATGATCATCTTTCTGCTCTTTCCTTCCGCACTGCTCCACGTCGTCTCTTTCCCCCACGTCCTCACATTCAGCCGGGAAACAAATCATTTGCCGCTGCTGCCGCTGCTGCCGCTGCTGCCGCTGCTGCCGCTGCTGCCGCTGCTGCCGCTGCTGCAGCTGCTGTCGCTGCTGCAGCTGCTGTTGCTGCTACATGTCACGTGGTTGCACAAAAGCACAAATAACAACATCAACAAAAACCGCAACACATTCGTTCGTCAACAGCACCGTGTGATCTTAAAATAGAAAAATGTTTTAATAAACATATCAGAAGCCTCTGCCAGTGGGGATGTGGAGCGGTGGCCCGGCGGTTAGCGCACCGCACCAACCACGAGTGCCGTGGGTGGCATCTGAACCCATCCTGTGGCACCACCTCCACCTCCCACCCTTCCTCACCCCCCCCCCCACCGACCCGCACCGACCAGGGCGGTGAAGTATGGTCAAACGAGCCACCAGTTTGCTCGTTCCCTTCCGCCAGCGACGCGGCGACCCTCCGGCCGACGTGAGTTACGTCAAAAAAGCAGAACTCGCCGCCCGGAATTTTAATTTTAACTTCGTGGAACAAAAATGTCTGTAGTAGCAGCAGCAGCAGCAGCGGCGGCGGCGGCTCCGCTCGCATTCTGTGCCGCTGAGATGATGAACGAGCGTTGGGATGAATCACCCGCTCGCGGCGCGCGGCTGACGGAGTCGAAACACGCGGCGCTGGCTGCACGCCGGGAAATTGACGGAGACTTCTCATCCTCATCGTCCTGCGTGCGCACAGGCGCCGTGGTGCAGAGCAGCTGGGGGGGGAGCGGGGGTTATCCCCTCGACAAAAGACATCTCACTCCACTCCCCTCCACCACGCACTCTCCTACCTCTCCCCTCTCATCTCACTCCACTCCCCTCCACGCACTCTCCTACCTCTCCCCTCTCATCTCACTTCACTCCCCTCCACGCACTCTCCTACCTCTCTTATCTCACTCTACTCCCCTCCACGCACTCTCCTGCCTCTCCCCTCTCATCTCACTCTACTCCCCTCCACGCACTCTCCTGCCTCTCCCCTCTCATCTCACTCTACTCCCCTCCACCACGCACTCTCCTACCTCTCCCCTCTCATCTCACTCCACTCCCCTCCACCACGCACTCTCCTACCTCTCCCCTCTCATCTCACTCTACTCCCCTCCACACACTCTCCTGCCTCTCCCCTCTCATCTCACTCTACTCCCCTCCACGCACTCTCCTACCTCTCCCCTCTCATCTCACTCCACTCCCCTCCACGCACTCTCCTACCTCTCCCCTCTCATCTCACTCCACTCCCCTCCACGCACTCTCATGCCTCTCATCTCTAATCTCACTCCACTCCCCTCCACGCACTCTCCTACCTCTCCCCTCTCATCTCACTCCACTCCCCTCCACGCACTCTCCTACCTCTCCCCTCTCATCTCACTCGATTCCCCTCTACGCACTCTCCTGCCTCTCCCCTCTCATCTCACTCCACTCCCCTCCACGCACTCTCCTACCTCTCCCCTCTCATCTCACTCCACTCCCCTCCACACACTCTCCTACCTCTCCCCTCTCATCTCACTCCACTCCCCTCCACGCACTCTCCTGCCTCTCCCCTCTCATCTCACTCTACTCCCCTCCACAAACTCTCCTGCCTCTCCCCTCTCATCTCACTCTACTCCCCTCCACGCACTCTCCTGCCTCTCCCCTCTCATCTCACTCCACTCCCCTCCACGCTCTCTCCTGCATCTCCCCTCTCATCTCACTCCACTCCCCTCCACACACTCTCCTACCTCTCCCCTCTCATCTCACTC